AAAAGTTAATCAGGAGCCTGGCCGTGTAATGTTCTGTATGTCAGCACAAGTACTTTAAAACAAATTCTAAAAAAAACTTATCATATATATCATATGATTAAAATGTTCAGGAAAAACTGTTAACAATATTGACTCAAAGTAAAACTATGAGAAGCTTAGAACATCAACTGCCTAATCTGAAGAACATACAAGAATTTTCCTTCAAGTCTTCTTGTTTACAAAGACTGGAAATGTTTTTGGTTTGTATCAATGCAAACATGCTGAATTTAACCACAAGTGATGTTTCAAATAGCACACTAACTTTGAATCTAGCTCAAACACTGAATAAAGTTACAATAAAAATCTAACTTACCCGTCTCCCACCACCACGCACTTAATGTTATTCATGATATTGTGAGTTAGCCTGGACAAATTAACAGGAGGTAAAGTAAACCAGAGTCCTTGTATTGTCTGAAGTGTACAGCAAACTAAGTGAACTGTTGTGGAGTTTCTGGTTCATGTATTGTTACAGGAATGATCAGTTCCTGTAACCTCTTGATTTACCGTCAACAACAGCCTGAGAAATCTCTGGAATTCTGACCAGCTGTTGCTGCTGCTAAAGGTGACACACCGAATTTGGCATTTTCATTAGTTGTCAGTTGCAATCAACAATATATGAATATATGAATGTGAGAGAGATATATTGCTAAGATCAACAAATGTGGCCCAATGTGTGATCAGACTCCATGATGTGAACATGTTGATTCTGTGTGGCAATTTATTTAATTTTTCATTGTTTTCTATCATAATACATTTTTCTTAATCCAGCCTAGATTTTATGATATTTTTTAGTAACTGATTACTGGGGGAGTAACCAGTAATCAGTTACCCCCCCCCCCACCTCCGTAACAAGAAACTTGAGTAACTATGAGTAACATTTCATTTTTCCTTTGAGATTAATTAAGTATTTTTGAGCTCAGTTTGTTTCAGATGGATTCCAAACTACAACTTCCATTAAAGACTCTAAAATGTTGAAAAAAGTGACTTCAGGTTTATTTATTTATTTCAAACATAATAGAAGAATAAAATCACACATGAACAAGGAATGCAAAATACATTTTTGTACTACAATAATCTTAACATGCTTGAAAAGGAGTAGGAAGGAGTAAGGAACATATGAACTCTGACCTCATAAACTCATACCATATTTTCAGATGGACTCTCATTAAATCAAATAAAAAATAAACATGGGTTAATTAATGTCCCGTTTTATCTGGGTTTACATACGTGTATATATATATATATATATACACACATACATATATATATATATACACCCACACACTCATATGCATTAGCCTCAATTTACATACACATTAGTGCCATCTCTCACCCATATTTCTATATTTTGTAAAATGGCCTTATATTAATTTCTAAATTGTATTAATTTTTGATTTTGTTTCACCTCTTCATTTAACTTGTTCCATAATTTTACCCCATGAATTGAAATACAAAAACTCTTTCTTGTTGTTCATAAACTACGAATCCTTAAGCTTGACTAACCCATTAAGTTAAATCCCCTTCTCTTTCAGAGAATGTTCTGGATGAGCTCAGGTAGCAGTTTATTAGATGCCTTAAACATAATTTGAGCAATTTTAAACGTCACCATATGTTCAGATTTGAGAATTCAGAGTAAAGGGTTTGTGTTCTCATAAAAACTGACATTATGGATGTTTCTAACGGCTCGTTTCTGTAGGATACTCTGTGGTTGTAAACAGCTTTTGTAATTAATTCCCCACGCCTCTGAACAATATGATAAATATGGCAAAATCAGAGAGTTATATAGAATGTGAGATTATTTACTAAACATAATATGTTTAGTTTCTGCCAGGACTGATATGTTTCTACATAGTTGATTCTGTAAATGTTTAATATGAGGTTTCCAACTTTTGTCATCTATTATTACACCAAAAAACTGATTAACATATACCCTTTCCAGAGTTACACCTTCTGACTGAACTTGAATTTGAGTATTTTTGAAAGTTTCAAAAAACCATGATTTTAGTGATAAGTTAGTGATAACTTACTATTGTCAAACTGTTTCTTTAATTCACTGATTTCTGAGGTAAGTTTTTACCAGAGACTAGAATATTTGTGTTGTCAGCAAATAACACAAATTTTAATACATTAGACACTTTGCTTATGTTGCTTATATACTAATTAAATAAAACTGGTCCCAGTACTGACCCTTGAGGTATTCCACACACAATCCTCGGACAATCGAATTCAATATCTCCCATCTTCATAAATTGTTTTCTGCTCTGTTCCCAGTTTTCTTTTAGGTCGGACCTAAAAGAAAACTGGGAACAGAGCAGAAAAATAAATCACATCCTTGGTCAGTTTGAAAGGACCAAAGCAACCAGAAAACAGGAGAAAAGGACAGCTGGACATTATTTTTACATTAAGATGAAATTTCACATCTTCTCTGTTTCTAAAGACAATCATTTTTGTGGGAATTCTGACTCATGGTCCACATGGATCTCCATAAGAGTTTCTGGACTTTGGGGGGCAGCATGACCGTCCTGATGGCTTCATCAAACACAGCCTTGAGGCTGCGCTGCGTCAGAGCGGAGCACTCCAAGTACTTCACTGCACCTGGTTTCAGCACATACACAAAAAATTTGTTATCGTATCTATGCATCACATTGTTCAAAAAATGTATGGATGGATTTTGTAATCCATTGTAATACTTTCTTATTGGTGCTGTACCAATAAAAAAGTATTACAATATGAGGTATTGTAATACCTTATAGGCCTAATTGATATCATTAGAGCTGCACAATATATCTCAAATATTCATACCACACTGTAGTGCAATAATTATGGACTAACATATTCTAAATGTTCTGAACTTTCTTTCCCATTCATGTAATGCTTAGCCTGTCAGACAGAGTCACAACAGACATATCTGACATTGACTAAAATGTTAAAAGTCACAGAGTGATGGAAGAACAGATGAGAAAGAGAGGAAAGAAAAAATAGGCAATATTTACCAATATTAAAAGAAAAGTTCACTAAGGGACAAGGGTGTTAGATGGATAAAATTATTACCAACATAATTTTCTCAAGATGGAAAACATTAGACAACACAAATTTTATTAGTATTTTTACAACCAAACTTTTCTAAAAAGTAGAACCACACACACACACACACACCCACACCCACACACACACACACACACACACACACACACACACACACACACACACACACACACACAGGTTTGTTTGGGAACTTTCCATTGACTTCCATTCATTTCTACAGCCGAACCCTAACCAAAACTCAATTCACACCTCAGTGCTAAGCTTAACCCCAAACCTAAAAACAACGTTTCTCCTTGTGGGGTCCAGGCTTCGGTCCCCACAACAAGCAGTGGGTCCCCACAATGTAATTATGAGTCAGGAAAATGGTCCCCACAATTCATCAAATACATGGGACACACACAACACACATCTATATGAAAAGCCACCCAAATCATACACTGCTCAAAAAAATAAAGGGAACACTCAAATAACACATCCTAGATCTGAATGAATGAAATATTCTCATTGAATACTTTGTTCTGTACAAAGTTGAATGTGCTGACAACAAAATCACACAAAAATCATCAATGGAAATCAAATTTATTAACCAATGGAGGCCTGGATTTGGAGCCACACACAAAATTAAAGTGAAATGTTCCCTTTATTTTTTGAGCAGTATATTTTATTTCATTAATTAAACTTGGCTAAATATGGCAATGGTTTTGAAAGAAAGTGAACCAAATCCTGTTTTTATAACTGACAATAAAATTGTTCAACTGAGCCTAAAACAATTCAAAAACTGTTTAATACAGAAAACATGCAAAATTATTTTAAAGTTTTGGATCTACAAAGAATAACATTCCTTTCCTACAAAAAAGAAAAAAAATGGACCTTTCAGTTTTTGTGTTTTTTTTTTTTTTCTGGCCCGTTAGTTCTTCTGTAGCGCCTAGATACATTTAAACAGAAAATACGAGAACCAAAAACTGACCGATTTCTTTTGCCATGGCAAAGCCCTGCACAGTGGTGATTGGAGTTAGTTTCTTCTCCTCCAGAGCTTCAATGGTCTTACTGTCGTTCCTTAGGTCCACCTTGGTGCCCACCAGGATAATTGGGGTCATAGGGCAGTGGTGTCGCAGCTCTTGAAACCACAACAAAACAGGTTGTAAATACATCTGAAAGAATAAAAACATTTCTCCGTCCAACGGAGAAATGTTACAAAAATAGAAATATAAATTAACTTTATTTCTCAAGTAGACGTTGGGTCGTGTCAACAACGGCCCTTTTTCCTATTTAGTTGTGAGCAGATGTGAACATCTGGCCTTGTTGCAGAGAGCAGGCTGTTCTTACCTTGGCACGAACATTCTCGAAGGAAGATGGACCAACAACAGAAAAGCAAAGCAGAAACACGTCCTAAGAAGTAAAATAAAAAATATTCATAAATGTCTTTTAACACAAACTTTTTACAGTTCAATGTAAACTATTGAAAACTCTGTTGGACTTGTACTGAATGTAGTGTTTTGCAAGTAGTTATGTTAACGCTCTAACATTTTTTGTTTTTAACTTTAATGTGTTTTTTGGACAATATGTGCTACAAAGCAGCATTTACTGTGTTAGAAAAGAAAGTATAGGAACAGTGGTGCCTGAGTTTATTTTATAATCGTGTTATAGACTGGAGAAACTAATATATTCCAACCTCTGTCTTTACTGTGGCTCCCCGGGTCATGACATTGTGGTCTGCCCGGTCCGGCCAAAAGTCACCAGTAGACTCGGGGAGGCTGACAGGCCACCTTAAAAGAAACGAACAATCATTTCCTCAACTTCTTCTTGCCACTCTGTTTCAAAAATGACTTACTGGAATTCTGTCAGTTCTTGTTGATTGCATCCTGACCAAAAATGAAGCCGATAGGTCAAAATCCCAAGGAAGAGTTTGTTAAAGTTCGAAGTGTGTAAAAATGAAAAATGGCCAAAATTTGCCCTTTGACCCAAAATGGCTGCCTCCCTGTACCTCCAGGAGGCTTTTTGTCTTGATTTGAAGGGGGGGAGGGTGTCTGCCTACATACTGAATTTGAGATATCTACGATCTGCAGTTTGCCCTTTCTTGCGCTCGAGAATCTAGAACAGTTTGGCCATGCCCACTTGCGGTTTCACTGGAATCCCAAAATTTTAGTTGGGGACAATTTTGGGTGAAGTTTGCTGAGGTTTTGAATATGTCAGAAAAATAAGAAATCCTGTGATTACAAAAGGCCTTCACAGCACTTTGCTGCTTGGACCTAATTAAGGATAGAAAGGAAAAGAGACGGGACATCAGGAAGAAACAATGGAAATAAAATGAGGCCGGACACAAGGATGGAAAGGTTGAAAGCAAATGGCATAGGACACAAGGAAGGAAGGATGGAATGACAGAACCTGCAACCTGAAACTATTAATCTATAACCCAATTTAGAAAGAAAGATAACATTTCTATTCTACAGAATTGCTTTTAAATCAAGAAATTATCAAATGATTAAAATGTTCAGATAAAACCTTTACAGTATTGACTCAAAGTGAGAATGAGAAGCTTAGAACTTCACTGAATAAAGTGAGAATAAAAATCTAACTTGCCCGTCTCTCACCTCCACACACTTAATGCCATTCATTATATGGTGCGTTAGCCTGGACAAATTAACAGGAGGTAAAGTAAACCAGAGTCCCTGTGTTGTCTGAAGTGGACAGTAAACTAAGTGAACTGTTGTGGAGTTTCTGGTTTATGCACTGTTACAGGAATGATCAGGATTTCCTCTTGATTTACTGCCAACAGTGGCCTAAGGAATCTCTGGAATTCTGACCTGGTGTTGCTGCTGGTAAATGTGAGTAACCAATCTGTTTACTGTGATTCTTAATAAAGAAGTTTCATTTTAGGGAGAACATGTGAGTTTACACCATACTGCCACTACAAGCTGGTGATGCATTTACTAGTATTATTTAATATGGATCTGGAATAAATATTCTTTGGAAGAATTCTGTAATATTTTAACAAAACACAAATCCAAGAGAGCTTTGTAAATGCTTTATTTGTTTAAAAAAACCCCACAACACTACATAAAGATACTGCTGTACTGAAAACGATTACAAAGTGTCCAGAGTTTATGGCTCTTCAGAGTACCTGTACTAGTTTAGTTTTTCTTGTATCAGTTGGGCAGCATTAGGCATGGGCCGGTTACAGTTTAGAAAAATTATAGTTTCAAAAACCGCAAAACATGTTCCTATTAAGCCATTCTTCTAATTACAATGGAGTCATTTTTGCTAAGTGATTGTGACCTGAGTTTTCTTTGGTGAAATAGAACACAATAGCACTGCCCCCTCCCCAACGTGTTGCTGTGTTGTTGGGTTAGCTGGCAGGAAAAAAGGACCCCAGTTGAGCTGGAACCACAGGTGGCGCTACTGAGCACCTTTATGAAGTCAATGCTGCTTTAAAACAGTTTGGGTCAACAAGCTAGCCAAGCAGACAGTCACATTGACCAGCTTGTTTTTAATCCCACTATTACTGAAGAGCAGCTGGGATAAAGCTATAAAAGTTCAGCTTTCAACTGGATTTCTGCTCAAAGTCTGATTAATAATGTTGTGCAACATCTTAGAATAAAACTGCTTTGTTGTCATATGTAATTTTTGTTTGCAACAAAATGGTCATTTGAATCAGTCTGAGAATTTCCAACCAACCCATGTCTAATTTTTATTCAATATTAAGTGCCCAAAACTAATGAGCTCCACCCTTCAGATATTACAACACTGACTCACTTCAGTAACTTGGAATAAAGCATGAAAAACTGCAAACCTTCATGACAACATAAATATGTCTGAAATAATAATAATAAAAAAAAGAAATGTAGTGAATGCAATTAAAATACTGTCCTCCAGGAGTTGGACTCCTTTTCCTTCTGTCAGTTTTTGCAGGTTAGGGGTGACGTTGCCATGTCCTTCACATGTTGAAATTAGGGGGCACCGATAAACTGTCACATATTTCCTAGATTTTTGAGAAAGTGGCCGATACTCAGATGAAAAACCGATCTTATCTGCCTCCTCAAAAAAAATCAGCTGATTTTTGTTATATGAATACCTATATATTTAACCACTTTTCAGACAATTGACAAATTGTTATCTGTCAAAACTGGAATTGGCAGTTCAAGCTTTTTAAAGATCGGAGAGTAAATCGGTGCGACCCCAAGTGAGAAAAACAAACATTAAAACAAAAATACGATCAGCAATCTGGGTTTCTGCAACCTCCATCTGAATGAAGTCATGTAAACAAACCAGTCTGTCAAGCACAGCTAGCAAAAGAAGTGACATTTTTAAAAAAAAAATGTATCTAAAAACATTTTTGCATAAAGTAAAATTCAGTAAAGGCAGCAGGAATCTTAGTGTTCAGGGCAAAGTGAAGCACTGGACCTTCTGTAAAAATCTAGTAATATGACAAATCCACATTCAAGTAGTGTTTCTTCACTGCATATGACAAAAATACATTAATATTTTTCATAAAATTTCCAATTGTATTCTTACCATCACATCCTGAGGGCTTTTCAAATTTAATGGATCTGAAAGAGCCAGATGTCAGCAACCACACAAACATCTGGTTCCACTCATTAAAAAAAGGGGGAAAAAAGAAGCTGTACTGAGATCTATGAAGATCTTTCACATGGAAGTGAGACATAATACCGCTTCCAAGAATACAAAGTCAGGGCCATTGGAGATAGAAAATTTCAAGACTCATCTCAGAAATTTTCAAGAAAAAAGGTGGACATTTCTGAGTTTCAAAAGTTGATAATGTTCAACTTTTAAAACTCAAACTTTGTTTTTTCCAGAAAATTTCTGAGATTAATCTCAAAATTTCAGAGAGTTTAGGTGGAAATGTACTCCTTTTTCTTTTCTATTTTCCTCCTATGTACAAAAAGCTCTGATCCGGCGTGGTAGAAAAGCTAGTTGTAGGAACCTGTGGTCTGTTTTTCCTTCATCCTGGTCGTGTGTTCTGATCCGGACGGGTCTTCCTTACAGTACGGTGCACTTCCTCCTCCTGGGCTTCTTGGTGGGCTGGGGGCACAGGACCGCCCTGATGGCTTCATCGAACACCGTCTTAAGGCCGCGCTGCGTCAGAGCAGAGCACTCCAGGTACTTCACTGCACCTGGTTTCAAACAGCAACACAATCCAACTATTAGCATATTCCTCAGATTGGTAGAGGAAACGGGCGACATTCATAATAATTGCTGGAAAAGCAGCAAGCTGCACAGATCTATAGGCCTGTCGCAGGAATTAATGTTGCTGGATGATAAATTGTGCCAGTAATTATTACGATAAATGATAATATTATTTTGTGGTCATTTTCAAGTAATATGTTGATAATGGCAGAATAATGCAAAGTTTGCCCTCTCATATATTAATAAACTTCAGTTTGGTAAAGAACATGTAACACTGAACCTGGAAGACATTTTAAATATCCAAAGTAAAACATAGCAGCCAAAACAATAAATAAAACTAAAATAAAAACTTATATACAAACAAAAGCATAAATAAAATGGATTATGAAGCCTCTAAACAAAAATGCCCTTCAAAAAAATATCATCTTATGGGAATTATTAAGCTCATTTTAATTTATCGTGTGATTAATTGATCAGTTGCTTATTGCAAAATGTTTACAGGATTAAATTAAATTCATTTTGTGTCTCTTAAGTGTGTGTGTGTCATCCTGAATAGTTCATGTGTGATGGGGTCAAAGGTGTGGACTTTACAGAGTTTTATTGCATTAGTACTAAATAAGTTACTTTAGCTGTGCAGCCATCATCACTTAGTGTTTTAATATTTAAAGATGAACAAATGGTCTAGAGCTGAAGTTCTGGAAGCTTCCAATGGGTTAGAGAAATAATAAAAAGGTATTTTAAGCATCCAGCATACTGAGGGGAGCAAATCATCAGTGCAGATAATGCCAAAAGTAATCATGTTACTTATGGGTCATTGATGCAAATCTGAGTCAAAAGTTGAGTAAATACTGGCTCAGTAGTGACAAATATGATAGTAAAAATTGGTCTGGGCATGCGTGAAACAAAAACTGACTTATTTCCTTAGCCATGGCCAAGCCCTGTGGATAGATGATGGGAGAGAGTTTCTTCTCCTTCAGCTTTTCAATGGTGTCCTTGTCATCCCTCAGGTCCAACTTGGTGCCCACCAGGATGATTGGCGTCTTGGGGCAGTGGTGTCTGACCTCTGGATACCACTGCAGGACAACACGGGCAATCACTTGCAGAACAGGAAGTATGAGGGTGCTCCATTGTTCGATTAATGCCGAACACATGTCTGTTCATCATTACCAATATTCTCTTAAAATATCAATTTACCATCTCAAGCTACACTCCATGCTTTGCTTCTCATTGGGGGTGCACCGATAAATTGATTTCCTTAATTTTGCGAGAGTGGCCGATGTTTACAACATTCGTCTATATTCTGCTAATGTCGGAAAAACACAGTTTTGCAATTGTGATGTTTCCACTAAATAAGAAATTAAATTAAAATCACACGTGAGTAAGTTGTTTACACGACAAGTCATTAAAAATCACAGCAGTGACCGACGTAAACCAACATATTCATAATTCAGCCACCACTTCCTGTCGTCTTCTTTGTTGTTTTCACCAGTAGTAACATCTGGTTGATGATCACATGACTCATGATGCAGGAAAAAGTTTTTCCATTGCAGTTTTGTGAAACTCATCTATTTCAATAGGGCTGAAAAACCACCTCATCCCTACACAAAGACTTTTTATAGGAAAATGTGGGGGGTTTTCGAAATTGGCGAGTTTTCATCAAGCGGATTTTTTTTCATAATTCCAATTTGCGCAATATTATGTTCAATGGAAACGCACTGTCCCCCTTTAAGCTGCTGTGAGAGAGGGCTAACTTAACATCTTTTGAGATATAAAAAGAAACCGGTGTCATCCAAAATTGGATGACACCGGTCAGGTCAGTTTTCTTAAAGATCTATGATCTTTAAGAAAACTGCAATCAGCGCAGCCTAGATCCATAACGCAACCCAAGCTCCTCTTACCTTGGCCCGGACGTTTTCAAAGGAAGCTGGACTGACGAGGGAGAAGCAAATAAGAAAAACGTCCTGGAAAAAAAAAAAAAAAAAACAAAGGGAAAAATCAGTGGGTTAAAAACTTGATCTAAAAACATCACTGAAAGTATTCATACCTTAACATGACAAATCATGTTGTTAATTGAGTTAGAATACATAGAATAGAGTAATAATGACATAACAGCACAAATCAGGACTCATTATATTGGTTAAATACAAAGTGACTGTCTCTCTCTGTCTCTTGCACAAAGACCAGATTGTTGTGAAGACAAACGGCGTAAACAAGAGCTTCTTTTTACTCCATCTTACTGTTCTCCAGACTGTATATTAGTCACTGTACTTATCTGAGAGGGAGATTGTTTTGTTTTGTTAAATAACTCCGAGTGAAGACAGTGTTCGCTCTGGCAGCGGCTAGCTAATACAGATCTGTGCAGGACAATGGACAGAGATGAGCTGTGTGTACGCTCACTGTCTGAGGGTAGGACAGCGGCCTCAGCCGGTCGTAGTCCTCCTGTCCTGCTGTGTCCCACAGACCCAGGTTCACTGGTTTCCCGTCCACCATCACGTTAGCAGAGTAGTTGTCAAATCTGTGAGGAAAGAGCTGAAAATGAGCTTTCAAGCACATTCCTGCTGACCAGAAGTTTACTCTAACACATTTTAGGTCCATCACATTAAGAATGACCAGAGCAGAGGAGCGTGGGACTTACACCGTGGGGATGTATTCTCCTGGGAAGGCGTTGGTGGTGTAGCTGATGAGCAGACATGTTTTACCCACAGCCCTGAGGAGGCAGAGAGAGAGAGAGAGGGCTACAGTAAGAACAGTGGATTTCATAAGCAGTGAAAAGTATTTCTAATTCTACCTCCAATGTTCACCACCCTGTTATCACAAAGTGAGGAAATATATTTCCAGAGAATCAGCAGGTCACATCAGAAGTCAGAGACTAGGAATTGGGAAACACAACTTGGATTGGTCCTCCAGGTTAGGACTGGAACGGACCATTATTTTTAGTGATGATTCTGACGATCAATCAGATTGAAAACAAATGGCGCATTCTGCTGAGTTTTCATTTAACCTCCTAAACCTTTTTTTTTTTTTTACACAATATGAAAAATGCAAAACGTACAGGTTTTTTTTTTTTTGTCGTTTTGGCTTATTGCTCTCAGGACCCAAACCTACCTATAATAATAAATACTATTTAAAATTATTTTATTTTGGCATTATTCTAACATCTCTCCGTTTTGTTATTGTTGTGGTTATTAGTGCAATTTATTTTTTAGAGTGAAATGCATTTAAAGTAATAAATATGACTTTCTGCCCATTATCGGACACCTATTCTTACCGCTAAACAGTCAGAACAATGTTCAAAAACTCATGAATGTTTTATGGCAATATGTAAAAACTAAATATATTGGCAATATAAATTGTCTCAGAATTTCAGCTTAAGAAAAGATTAGATGCTTTTAACCTACAAACGTGATACTGGATTAAGTTCCTTTCATACTCCGTCAGGTGCCACGAATTTGACATTCAGCTTTTATTTTTTAAAATGTTACTAGTCGCCCACTTTTACTTAATAAAGTGGATGCAACTCAAACGTTAGGAGTATATATATATAATATAATATAATATATTGACTTAAAAGGTATAAAGTAGCATGCTGCATCTGACTGAGGCTAAATCTGTGACCCAGCTGGAGGGACAGCAGCCACCACAGCAGCTGTCAATCTATCTGGGACTGTTAGCCGCTAGCCAACTGTTGCTAACTGGGTCAAACCAAAAACCACAATTTTTAAACTTTAATTCTACAACGTATGATTCAAACTCTAACATTTGAGGTTAGAATGAGAATAGAGACGTAAATTAACTCACCCGTCTCCCACCACCACACACTTAATGGCCTGCATTGATCCCAGTTAGCTGATCAAGCTAACAGCAGCTAAACTAAAGCAGTCTGCTTGTGCTGCCTAAAAGTGCAGCGAAAAGAGAGATAATAACTCCGAAGTGATTTATAAAAATTCTACATAGAACGAACTATCTGACTGTCCGTGTCTGGTCAGGAGCAACACCCCAGTGAAACTTCAGATATGTTAAACACACAGACAACACCCAGAAGAAAAAAAAAAATCGAAGCAAGATTGAAGGAAAAATACGCCCACGGTTTGATTTGGAAACTGTAGATCCCTGGAAGTCTTATCCGGTCCGAGCCGAATAATGGTCAAAGCCCGCCCTCTAGTGGTTATTACTTTGTGTGACACACAGCGATTGTCAGTTCTCAGAACATTGGCATTGTTTTCCTTTATCCTCAAAACCAAAATAGAATACCTAAGTATGGCAACCCAAAAAATATACAGTTGAAATTCTTAAATGA